TGATTAATTGTTCTAACTGTCAGGAAATTTATCCTCAGTTCTAAGTTGCTTCTCTCCTTGATTAGTTTCCACCCATTGCTTCTTGTTCTACCCTCTTGTGCCTTGGAAAATCCAAGCTACACATTTCCAGCTACACATTTTAAAATGGAGAATGGCTGTTGCTATTTATTTCCCCAACTCCCAACCCCATAAATAAATTTGGCACATTTCCTATGCCAAATTATCCCCCCAAAAGTGACAACAAAGATATTTAAAATACCAGTTTACTGACTCTCTAGAACCAATAAACATGAAGTATGCTAAAAAGTTACAGTGGATGATTCCTGTATATTCTTCTCACGATGACAATAAAGAGAATAAAAGAATCTGCTGAATTGGTCCAATCAATTGTTTACAGAACAGTATTTGTTTTTCTGGAAAGTGGCTAAGCAAATTATTAAGTCAAACCTGGATATTCTGACTTGTTAATGAGAGATTGGGTTTCTCATTATCTGACAGAAATATATATATGAAAAGACAGATCATCAATTCCTTCTGCCTCTTTAAGAATGCAATACAATTTATCTTTAATATAACTTTACATAAAGGAGCTAGTTTTATGGATTGTTCTGTACCTGGAGATTTCTATGAAGACCCAACACCATGGAAAAGTGTTTTAGCAACTTACAGGTGAAAAGAAACATATCAAGTCGGTTAAGAAGTTTTAAAATCAGAATTATTAAAAAGCCAGCATGGCACACAAAATGCATATAATATGCATTTATTACACCAATTTCAATACTACTGCCTGTAAATAACATAAAGCCAATTAAAAGAAATCTGAGTGTTACATTTTCATCCAAAAGCATAACTGCAAGTTTATTGTTCTACTGTTATTTGATAATGTCTATTGGCTTACCTCTTCCTCCTCCAACCTTTTCAAAGAGTCACCAGCAAACTTTATATACTGAGTCATCAAGGTTACCAAGGCTGTGTAGCGTGTTCGTAAATCCATAAACTAAAAGGAAACAGAGGAATAGCTGAAAATATGACAGATAAAGAATGTAGCTTCCATTAAGATTGCTGAAAGAAAAGGAAGGTGTTTTGTGATCAAGCTTCAGAAATGTATACTACATCTGTTAGTCGTAAGAAAAAGGGATTCAGGAGCCAATGTAACAAATCTGTGGAATAGAATCGCCTTCTATCTGTCTTGGGTGGCCTCAAGTAAATACTGCAGATGATCTCAGGGATGAAAGATGAGCAATCATTGCCTCATGATGATTAGCCTTGGTGGCATAGTGGTTAAAATGCAGTCAGTGGTGGGATTCAAATAATTTAACAACCGGTTCTCTGCCATAATGACCAGCTGGGTCGGCATAGCTCGGTGGTCAAGTGACAATGTGGCTGTGAACCAACTCACGTCGATGGGCGCTTCGCCTTAGCTGTTACAATGGTAATAAGGGTTAACCGGAG